TTTACAACCACTTTTGTACAATATATGCCAGGGACCTGTGCAATACATTTATATTTATATCTATAGTTACATCTATATTTATATTCATATGTGTGATACGATTTTCTGTGTACTGTTCTGTTCTAGTTTGTTCTTGTGTGTCCGAACTGTGAGTAACTCTTGTATTGTATTGTATGTATTGTACTATTATTATATAATTCGTTACACTGTGGCTGTGTTGTGTGTGTTAAGCTGCTGTTGCACTGCAATTTCCCTCACGGGATCAATAAAGTATCTATCTAATCCTTTCACTTTACACCTGAAGGTAGTCTAATTACAACTCATCTCTTTTTTAGTGTCAGTCTAGGTTTTTTCAAAAATTATGTAATGATGTAAACGACCATATGCAGATAGGATACAGAGAGTAATTACTATTTGAAATTGTTGATAAACAAGAGTGTAAAACCAATGATGATATATACATGGGAATTAACTCTTCACATTTAGATTAAAAATTAATTCCAATTAAAAAATAAAAACGTCATTTTATAAGTGACTAGGAAACGGTAAGACCGAAAGCATTTTAAATTCAATTAATTACACAACGTGTGATTAGTTTAAAAATAATTCTCCTGAAGTTATACTACCTACTCTAACAACACAACATTTGGACAGTGAAATTGGAAAGCGAACTAAAAACTATCAGGGCGACCTACAGGCTGTTAAATTCATTTATATAAACTGGATCTCTTGCATTATCAACAAACTCATATTAACAAGACAAATATGTTTTAATAATTACGTACCATGTTTGTCGTTCAATATGAACTAGATTCTTCAGCAGCGATATTTCCTGTTTCTTTCAGTCTCGTTTACACACGCTGCAAGAAAACAGGAAGTGATCCTTCTCCAAGTGTCAAAGTTGAAAGGTGAAAGTGCCGGCGGTTAGCCAATCAAATTTTAGAAAAATGTTAGGTAAAATCTCAAATGGTTGAACTTTCAAACAAATAACAATAAAAACGATCGAATAAATCGCAAGAAATAATTTTGTTGTAAGTACTGTTTTATACATAATCGTTTAACAGCAAATTTGAAGAGCAGCAATCGGGTGACCTCCTAAAATAATCCAAGTTTCCCTCTTTCATTCTTTGGGCAAATCGTTGCCTAGTTAGCTAAAGTTTCTATAAAATATCAAGTTAAACTAAACGTAAAATTAAAAAAAATGTTTAAGCTGGTATTAAAATTTTAAATTGTGAATTTAAACAGAAGCATGATGAATTTGTAGACTCGAGAGAACTGTAAATACATTGAATAAATATTTTTTTTTATGCTACGTCTTCTTTCTTCATTAATGTTTGGTGTGTAAATAGGGTAGAAACGCCAATGTTGTGAGCTGGTTGTAAATACGTGCATTCTTTACCGTGTGGTGCCTACATTTTTACATTTGTAGGTATTAAGTAGGAATGCAACAGTAAAACACTGAATATCGCGCAGCCATTGCATTGAGTTGTGAAGCAATGGTGCTGTTTGTAATATTCATACATTGACATACAGCGGATTTTTGTATGCCCTGTTAATTTGTAACTGATACACTGAAATTCTTTTAAAATAATTTGGAATATTATGCGAAAATGGGAGACGTGGAAAATCTCCCAAAAGAGTTAATATTTCTGATGCATTTCAGTAGTATATTCTGCTTTCATTTTCCTCCGTGTGCAACATGAATATTGGTTTTAAAACAATACATTCCTCTTTTCTAGAAGCAGAAATTTGATTCGATCGGACACTTTGCAAATAGTGACGTTCTTATGAAGAATATAGAACTGATCATGGATATCTGAAATCAAAATACTATTCTCCATAGTAATCCAAAGACTAAAAGAAACAAGTGAAAGTAGTTCCATAGAATTTTTAAATGTTTTAATCCATCCAGCAGATGCATGTATAAAATGGAAGAAACACACGTACCCTATGGCACAGCTACTATAGAGTTAGGCCTTAATAGATTACTTTAAACCCACTGTTAAGACTTCCAGTTCGAACTTTGAAGGAGCATAAAACAGTCATTGTTTCTGTTTTGCTCCTAATTATTTTATTTATTATACGACATTCAAGTTATCAATACAGAATGTATTCCAAGTTTATCTGTATTGAGGATTATGAAGACTCCCTTTTTCCATACCAGAGCCCTGAGCCTGGTACTAGGGTTTCACTGTAACACACAGACGGGTGGATTCTGTCTCTGCTAGTGCTCCTTTTAGAATTTAGAAACTGACTCCAGTTGTTCTGACCTCTTGATGCTTAGTTGGTGAAATCATGTTGAGTTCTTTAGAAAGCTAACGGTGTCGCCTTTGCATAGGGTTAGCATGTTTTTTACATTTAAATATTTAGGCACTTGTAAAAAAAAAGATGTGTATGTTTAGGAATAATGCTGATGTTTTTGAGTTTAGTATCAATGGAAGAAGAATTGGATTATAGTTTTTTTCCATTTGTAATTTGTTGATTAACAAAGCCATTGTATTCTTCAGAGTTCTGATACTGTTTAGTGCCTTCCTCCACAGGCTCTGTTGGAATGGCAGGACAGAGAGATGTGCCTTTATTTTATTATTTAGAAATTGAGCAATACAATGTTTAATTTTAAGTCCCAAAGACTTTAAGACAAATGTTGCAATACACTTTTATTAAATATGATAAAACACTGTTTTGCCTCCTACCACCATAATACTACCCACTGACGTTTCTGAAACAGACAAATGGAATACAATGTATGTAATAGTTAATAATATTTTATTGTGTATTTTTACTGTTTTTCTGTTTATAGTTGTTCCAAGTGAAATTGTATTACTTAACCTACATTTCCAGATACAGACAGACCTATTTGAACTTAAGCATTAAGGCAAAAGGGGAGCAATCCTCTATTATTACACATTCAATACAGAAAACTAAATGTACTGCAATAGCTCATTTACAACCATAAGCCTTGATTGAATAATTAATTTATAAATGAATTCTGCCTGCTAGAGAAGGGGATTGAAATATTTTATTTCACGGGGGAACTTTTGTCTTGGGACAGAACTTGAAATTTTATCTCTGAAAACACAAAAATTCTGAAATTCCAGTGGCTGCTCTTATGGAATTCTCTGCTGAATTCAGCTGGCAGAGGAAAGCTGCTAAAAGGAAAGTAAAATACACATGATTCACGGCAGTTCTTTTTTCTTAATTGCTTCTGCCTTCATCCTTTATAAATTAGGAGTTAATGACACAGTGATGAAGAGTGTCGTCTGTGGCCCTACCAGTGCAGAATGCAGGCCTTTGTGTTTGTCAGTTCTGTATAGCTGTGGAATGACATCTCCATTGTCAGGGGCTGTGCAGCTTACTGATGTCTCAATATCTGCTGACAGCGCTGTTAGGAAGCACACCGAGGATTCTAATTCCAATTATTCAGCAAAGAAACCTTATCCACCTCTCACACATAGCAACCAACAGCTCAGCAACAGCATGAATTGTCGTGTTTTAATTTTAAAATGTTTATGGCATCCGATGCGTGGAATCAAATTTGAAAAAAAAAAAGCCACAGGGAACAGCAAGCATGCTACATTTCATTAGAAATGGTTTATTGAAGTGGGCTTCTTCATCTGCCCTGTTTTCATGATGGACTGTACCACTAGAGAAATATCACATAGGGTATGAAATATGACTTTTCTTCTTAAGGGAGGAGGATGGAAAAAAGTGAGTGAGCCATATACTGGACATCTCACCAGTATGACTGTGGCAGCAAAGCCTTTCAATTTCGGCACAAGGGAGTTCAGAGCTTACTGGAAGAGACCAAATTTGGCTTTATATTCTTCTATTTAAAAAAACAAAGAATAACCTGAGTTCTACTAAGTTGTTATATAAGTTAGAGGTTAATTAAATAAAACGGACCAAACATAGTAAAGACATGGTAACTTAGTCTCATGTAGCCTTTCATTTTAGTAAATACATTTGTGGTGTCATTTTGTACCAAAATAGATCATCTTCAGCAAGTTTGCCGTTCATTTGTAACAGGTTTTCTGACCAATTTAGCAGTGTTATTTGAAGCACAATTTAAGACTCCTGCAACATATCACTCCTAATGTCCTGGCCCTGGAGAGGAAGAACAAAAGAAAGACATCTGTTTTTCTGCTTTTATTTATGCACATGACCTGTTGATACACTTCCATCATCAGTTAATCATCATTACATGGGCACTTATCCTCCTCAGCCTTTGTGGATTGTGACTTCCCAATAAGGTAAGATGATGAAACAGAAGGTTGACTGACACTGTAATGCAGAAGGGATGAATAATTGATTTACATTATACATTAATCCCTCTTCCCACCTTGTATAGTCACTCTCTCCTCAAACTGAAAGTGATGAAGAGCCAGGAGCTACGCGCTGCCTTGCCTACTTGATGACACCTCGCTGTCTGAATAACAGCAGAAAGTGTCGGCCCTCCAAAAACACCTCAGGATGCATCATGCAGATTTAATTAGGTAGCTCTGCAAAACAGATCTGTTTGGAGCACCAAGTTTATTTCTGATGCACTTCAAGAGGGAAAAAATGTGCATGTTATATCTCACTGTGTAAATGCAGATATTGCATTTCTGCTCTCATGTCAAAGTCATGAAACACAGCTATGTGACTAGATGCAGATACAGAAAATGATCCGTTTCCTCAGGGCAAAACAGAAGCCAACCTGTTAATGAGTAAAATAAAACTTTTTACCCTCTTTATCTTGAAAAGTATATTGAAAAGTTCACAATGACCATATACCATATATTATCCTACTTTTCATATTAAAGTATTATGTCCATATTAAAACATTTTAATTTTCTCATGCTGCTTATAGATACCATCTATGAATTGGCTTCATTACTCTGCTCTCCTCCCCACTGATCGCTGATGTGTGGTGAGCGTTCTGGCGCACTATGGCTGCCGTCGCATCATCCAGGTGGGGCTGCACATTGGTGGTGGTGGAGGGGAGTCCCCATTACCCGTAAAGCGCTTTGAGTGGAGTGTCCAGAAAAGCGCTATATAAGTGTAAGCAATTATTTTATTATTATTATTATAATACCACTATTCCACCATCCAGGACTATTTTTTTATTGAGTGCTGGTCTGTATTAAAGTGCAAAGCTCAAATTAAAGGTCCAGTCTTAGAATACTTTTTTTATTCTATTATTGTTATCATTACAACTATATCTTTTCTAATATACTGTGTGTAGATATTCCAAGACCGCAAAAAATGACACCACAGAATTCTTCAGGAAAATATTTGCAATTTAACTTACCAATTTCTGCAACAAACAGTTGCTACCAAATATTCCTTTTTTCTATCTAAACACATTCTGATGACATTTTCCAGGATCTGTTATATGTAGATTTATAGAGACTGCTGCAGTTTCAAAGAGATTTTGTTACAGAAGACATTTTCAGCACAGTGTGTTCTGGGACCTTCCCTCATATTTCCATTAGTCGGCACCAGCAAAGAGGTTCAATGCCAAGTTAAGACATGAATCTGGGCGACTATATGGTACCTGTTTATGTTTGTGCTTTGAAAAATGCTGTTAAAAACAAAAATAAAGGAAATGATTACATGTCATGAAGGCTGAACATTATTAAATTATTTTATTCACTGTAATATTTACTCAGTAGGCATCTCGTCTCATGAAGAAAATCTCATTTGCCGAGTTGAGTACCCCCATCATGTCATTTTTGGGCTCCTGTTCAGCTTGGCGGTTAACTTGCAGCAGTTTTGGATTAACTGTTCCGTGGTTTTGGGACACTGTCATCCATAGGGATTAGG